TTAGATGGGGACGAACATCGCTCAGTAGGACAGACCAATATATATATTTCATTAAGTTTGGCTTAGCAGGATAGCGAATATGATAATCAAATTTGAGTTCAAGAAATGTTGCCGAATCAGAACATCTTTCCACATGATTCAATTACTAAATAAAGTCGCAAAAAACTGGAATAACAATATTGAGTGGTGAAAATCGGCTTTCGAAGATGGAAGAACGTACTGGATGATCAGGTGCATTTTTCTCAGGAGTTAAGCCAAGAAGCTTCCAGGAATCTGAAGAGGTCGTCGCGGCAATGCCACTAACGGAAATATCATCACCAGGTAAGGGTGGAGGTGATTCTGTATTCGTCTTCTTTGGAATGGTCTCAACTGAAAAGTTAAGAAGAAATTCAAACAAGTGCTCAAAATAATGGTGCATAAAAGCACAGGAGTTATTCAGGCTCTAGTACAAACTGTGGAAGAGTGTCAAGATATCACGAAATAAATAAGGCTGAGCGTAACATCCATAAATAGACTTCTTAACTTATCCATGAGTAGCAACTATTTTATCTTTGACGGTAAGTTAGATGAACAAGTACACGGAATTGTGATGGGATCTTCCCTAGCTCCCATCTTAGGGAACAATTATATGGCAAGACTTGAGGAACACTTCCTGAAATAGGCAATACTAACCACCCAAATTGTTGGTTACATATGTGGATGACTATCTTGTCCTCTGGCCACATGGTAAGGAAAGTTTAGATAGTTTCCTACTTTCACTTATTCAACGTGAAAGGAACATTAGGTTCAGAATGAATAGAAAGAAATGCTAGAAAGAGATATTTACAGGATACCAATATGTTGGCTCTTTTCTTAATTTATTGATTATTATGAACATGAGGCTAGCGGATAGCAACCATTTGACTAGAGCTGGAACGGCTGACAAATTTAGTCATCGAAAATAACTATCATTTGGGGTTAATTGCGAATAATAGCTTTTTACTGAGGACTACATTTTTAGACAGAGACTAGCTAGCCAGAGATAGAAATAGAGACACTGGGTTTCGATTAATCATACGATGACGAAAACTAAGCCCGTTTTCACCCAAAACGAGGGAGGTCTCGTGGACTGCATCAACCTGAACGTTGTATAGAAGCCAAAGGGCTGCAGTACAACGGGATTCATTCGTCCTTTTTTGGTGAGATCGACCTATGAATCTCTTTTTCATGCACTTTTATACGAAATGAATGTCCCCCCAACAAAGATAGACAAGCCTGGACCTTTTCTCATTTCCTATTTTGCCTTCATGTCTTCTTTCAAAAAAAGATAGGTGAATTAGTGAGAAAGTTGAGAATAAAAACAGTTTTTAAAGAAACCCTCATACTTTCTTCTGCTATGCCATCTTTAGAAAGAAATATGACCCATTATCGAGATCCGACTGCTACCTTGTGGTCGACCCTATGTTGGTAAGACATGCTGACCTATTTGACAAAGATTGGGGCAACACAAAAATGCTTGTAAAGGAAGCTGGGTTCAACGGTCAGAAGTGGCTGAACACATGGCAGAAACTGGACCTAAGATAGAATGGGCTCAAACTAGTTACGGTGCGTCAACTGTTAAATGAAGATAAAGGAGGCTATTGAAATTAAGGGATTACTGAATATGTTGAAGGTGAAAAACACTGGTAGAAAGTTGAGTAAGAACTACTGATGCTTGATTGATGGATTGAAGGAGAGAGAGGGTATTGAGCCGTCATCCAAAAGGCGACTAAACTGGTCTGCTCAATGATGGTTCTAACTTCACTTAAGCTCGTCCAACATGTTAGATTAAGCTCATCAACCAAACCAGACGTACGAGATTATGCAGCCCCAGCCATGCCTTTCTTTTGGTGGTTAAACGTTAATGACCCTAGACTGAGAGGTTATGACAGATGGTTTCGCAATTTGACTTACACACGTAAAAGCTTACATTTCATTATCTCAATA